GCTGCCTTCTCCTTAAGGCTTTTTAAGGAGCTACCCTCCAGAAAGGCTGTGCCAGCCCCTCCCTGTGGTTGGAGAGCAGGTCCTGGTGGACACAGATGATCAGTCCTCTGGGTTTCTCTCAGCCCTGCTGTTCCACTGGGCTTCCCAGCATCTAGCAGGCAGATTGGGAGAAAGTGGCCTGGTTCCCTGAGTTACTTCTTTGATCCCATCTCGCCTTGGGAGACAGGCCCTGAGCAACCTGGCTGGGCAGCATGTTCTATCCCAAACAGTACAAGTGAGACCCTTGTTCCCCTGGCAGGGTCCTGGGAAAGTTGAACATGGGCCAGGAAGGTGCAGCCCAAGCTGGCCTCGTGATGCATAGGGCTCACATTCTGTCTGATGCAAGTCTGCCTTGTCTGGCAGCTTGTCCCCAGTCCCCAAGCTGAGGTGAGCAAATGAGTTGTAGAATCAGGCATTATCAAAGAGTAGACACCTCCGGGAGGAGGAAAAGTGTGGTGGAGTTCCATAATCTGCGTTTTAACCTACATTGTGAAGGCAGCTCAAATGATAACAATAGCAAAGCTCCTCAGAGCCCACCCAGAGCCTTCCTCACCCTGTGCTGCTCTGCAGCTCTTTCTGGGGAGTGTGCTGCACTCTGAGCATGCAGGCAAATATAAGTGGGAACCACCCACCTCTTTTAACAATGGCATTGTTCTCTGGCACAGGCCCCTCCTCCACACTCACTGGGGAAGCTTCCAGGCCAGCACCTGAGGAAGCTTCTTACATCTGTTTAACTCACACTTCTGCATGGCACTGTCTCCTAGTCTGGCCTTGCTGTCCCAGCCCTCCCCATTGATCGCCTCTGTCCGTGATAGGTGTGGTGGCCTCCACCTGTGAGACAGGTGGCTCTGTTCAGCCAGCCCTAGTCCCATAGCTCCAACTCTTACCTCCCAAGCCTCCCACCCCCATCTTTATCATCCTATACTGCAGGCTACTCTTGAGTCCTGTGCTGCCCCTTTCCCCACCTCTTATTTAGGCTGTAGACCACTCTTGTGGCCTCAGGGTGCCTTTCTCGGCAGGCTGGCACGGGGGTTTGGGCTCAGCTCAGGCCCACTGACCCCTATGAGCAGAGTGGGACGGCACTCTGGGGCCTGCAGCTTGAACTCAAAAATGCATCCCTATATCCCTTGCCCTTGAGAGGCACAGGAGAAGCTAGTGGAGTGATGGGGGGCTATGAAGGGGACAGATGGAGTTGGGGGAGAGGAGCAGCCATAGTGGGTATTGCCAGTGAGCCTGAGGCCCCATGGCAGAAACCACTTGGCTGGTGCAGGGGAGGCCAAGTGATGGCTGTGCAGAGTGCTTTAGCAGGAGCAGGGGCCTCAGAGGTTTGTCACAGGGCAGACCCCAAAGGTGTCTTGAGTGCCAGATTGATCCAACCCTGTGCCTCAACACAGAACATCCCAGGAGACCTGCCTTGTGCTGGGCATGTATCATGGGATACATGGACTAAACCCTCACATACGTGTTCAATGGGCTTCAGCCCAGGGAGACCACAACCTCATTAAAGACAACACACCCAGGTTCGGGAGGGGTTGTGCTCCATCCACTGGTGGGAACCCCACAGTGCAGGACAGCCTTACACCCAGATGCTGCAACCTAAGTGTGAAACTAGAGAGGGCTTGGCAAACGTGATGGGCTAGGGGGCTGCCCCCTCACTGAGGATATGCTACAAAATAAAACCGCTTCTATGTTGGGAAAAGCCATCTGGAAGAAGCTGGGAGGGAGGAGTAGAAAACACTAGTTTGTAGTTTTCAGTTGAGTATGATCTGGGCAGGCCTTGGCCCCGTGTCCTTGAACCCCACCACAAGGACAGCCTGGAATGTATCCCTTTGAGACTCCAACCCAGCCCTGTTCTGGGGCTGCCCTACAGGTCCCAAAATCCCTTGACCAGTGAGAAGAGCAGGAACAACAGGTGGAACTCAGACCACCAATTCCCATTAGCAGGTAGAGATTCTGGCAGGTGCAATGTTTCCCCTGGGCCTACTCTCTCTGTTCTTCAAGGCCAGAAGCCGAACACCACAAGGACTTGGTTAGATGGGGTCGCTTCAGTGTAGTGGCCTTTTATGTACAGTCAGCAGAAGCAGCAAAGCCTCTGGACAGGTCAAGCTCTGGTTGGATTGCTCAGGCTTTGGCTCTGACCTATCCTTTCAGCTACATGCTGAACACATGCCTGCGGTGCTATCTGGGTACTTAGCATTTAAGGGGCTGTTGTTCAGAGACATAGCACACATCATAGAAAGGCCTCGATTCCCCTGGACCCAGCGGGGGCCCCTGAGTGGTGCTTACCTGTCTCTCTGTGTCCTTCAGACAACCAAGTGTGAACCTTTTGCAGATCTCTTTTGTTCTTTGTAGGTTTAAACGGGACCTGCAACAGCTCAAGCATCCCCACGTCAACCTCGGAGACGCCTGACTACTTGCTGTGAGTACTAACTTGAGGCCCCTCCTCTCCCAGGGCCTTGCCCCTGCTGCCCCCTCCCCGCCCTGCACTCAGCAGCAGCAGTTCTAAGCCAAGTCCCTGTGAGCCAGTTGCAAACACCCATCCTGTTCTAGGCCAAGCTCCTGCTTGGGTCAGGCCCTCCCTAAGGTGGGATCAACCATGCAGCCACGGGCACTCTAGCCTCCACAGTGACCCTGAGCCCTGCCGGCCTCTCTCCTGTTTCCAGAAAATATGCCACCATCTCCTCTTCGGAGCAGCGTCAGAGCTACAAGAACGATTTCAATGCTGAGTACAGCGAGTACCGCGACCTGCACTCCCGCATTGAGCAGATCACACGGCGCTTCACTCAGCTGGACGCCCAGCTCCGGCAACTCTCCCAGGGCTCCGAGGAGTATGAGGTAGGGCCCCCTGCTCACACCTCACCATGAGGGAGACAGGTTTGTTTCTCACAGTCTAGCCTCTGCTCTCCCTGGTGAGGAGGGGCTGTTCCAATATTTCACCCCCTAGTAGCCTGACAGGTAGCCACCCCTTGTTGGTACCCTGCTACTCACATCACAGGACCTCAGCCCCTGGCCAAGAGGGACAGGGCCAGGCCACACTGTATCCATGGCCCAGCTGTGCTTTCAGAGCCACGGCGGGAGGTGAGAGGGGATGGAGGGTCCCTGTGGAATCTCCACCCATACTAGGAGTCCCTTGTCCTCTGGCCTACAGCACACAGGCTCCCTAGGCCCCCATGTAGGACCATGTAGGAGGGCCTTGGTCACCAGCCCTCAGACACCAGCCTCCTTCTTGATCCACCTTTCGTCTGATCACTAGACTGCAGGGCCAGACCTAATTAATCAGGGGTCAGGGTCTATCTCCTTGGCGGAGGCCACTTTGGTTTCCAGAGGAGATGGATCGTGATTGGAGGAGCGATGAGGGTTCTGAGAGTCTGAAACACACAAGCCCTAAGGATATACCTATCCTCCTTCCTCCCTGCCAGCATATAGACATGCCCCAGCCTCCCCCTGCAATCCCAGGTGGTCAGGGGCCTCTGTACATAGCCTTGAACAGTGGACAGGCCAACTGAGGTACAAGGGAAGGAGACCATCTGCATGCTTTTTGCCCCCTCCCACTACCGACTTGTCCTTGAGGCTGGGCCCCTACACCTTGCCCCCTGGTCTAGCTTCCTCCTCATAGTCTGCTGCCCTTCCTCTGTACTTTGGTCAGCTCCCTGCAGGGCCACCCAGAGGTTATTGTCCCCAGGTATGTGGTGATCCACAGGTCACAGGTTATTGGAGAGCACCTTGCTTCATTGGAGCTTCTCACAAGTGAGGGCATTGTTTTCTTTGTTTTTGTTTTCCTCCAGACTACTCGTGGACAGATTTTGCAGGAATATCGCAAAATCAAAAAGGTGAGTCTCCACCCAGCTGTGGAGTGGTGGGGAGCAGCCCCTCTCTGGGCACCCCAGCACCCCTCAGCTGTCCCACTGCTTGGTGGTGCAGCCCCCAAAGTCAAGGAGAGGAAGTGAAGTTCCCACCCTTAGCTGTTAGTCTGGGAGGGACACCCAGCTTCATGGGCTCTGAGCCCTGTCTTTGGGGTACCTGAAAGTCTCCTATGAGGTGGCTCCTGGCTAATGTCCAGTCAAAGCAATGTTAGCTCTCGTTCCTAAAGGCTACTAGCTGTGGGTTCACCATATGTGTGCCTTGCGTGCCAAGTGGTCCCCTGTCAGCTAGGCCCCAGACCATCCTGGCGGCTTCATGCCAATCTCACATCTGACTCTTTACCTGGCCACAACCCTATTTCTCAGGGCAGGGCCTGGGGCTTGGGAATGATGCCAGCCTAGGACTCTAGCCCAAGACAGAGAAGTGGTCCTTGTCATTGCCTGGTGGGCACTGGCCTGTAGGCAGGAGTGGCGGGAGCCTGAGGCAGCCAGTAGGCTAGCACCTTCACATAGGGCAGTGCCCATTCCAGCCACGCTCCATACCAGTGGCCGCAGAATGTAGCTCACCCCACCACTCTGTTGCAGACCAACACCAACTACAGCCAGGAAAAGCACCGCTGTGAGTACCTGCACAGCAAGCTGGCCCACATCAAGAGGCTCATCGCTGAATATGACCAGCGGCAGCTGCAGGCTTGGCCCTAGCCCCAGGCCGAAGAGAAGGAGGTCCCCATCCCTGGACTGACCCTTCTGGATGGCGGGAAAGCTGGGGGCGGGGGGAGCTGAAAACGGGAGAAAGATTTATTTAACAAAATAAACACGAAGAAGACACGTTCATCTGAGCCAGCAGATGAACCAGCAGTGCCGGCTTTCAGGGGACTCCCTGTAGATTTGGCACCCATAGGTCACAGATCCAAGCAGGACGTCCTACTCCCCAGCCCCCATACCTCCTGAGCAGCCCCCACTCAGGACAGGCTCCCCAGGAAGCCCAGCTCCTCACCAACCACAGTCTGAGGGGCTTCAGCTTCCTCTTGTCAGAACACTTGGCCGGCCTGTCTGCTTTTTCTAGTTTTATACGAAGACAGCCACTTTTAGCTACTGCTCATGAGACTTGAGTCTATTTTTATATGACAGAGAAAGCATCTTTTTTCTAAACCTGTGCCTCCCCTCCTTAGATGCCCAGGGTCTAGACACTGCCCTGTGTCCTTTCTGCAGTATTACAGATGCCATTGGGAAGTTTGGGTGGGAGACCAGCCTTGGTCACGTCTCCCATGCTGGGCTCTGGCCAAGTGCCCAGCCAGGCCATCCAGGTTCTCCAGGCCCAAGCAAGGGTGGGCTCTCTCTGAGGGGGTGTGCAGGGCAGCTCAACCCCCTAGGTCTATTTCAAGAACTCCAGCTGGCCCCCAGAGCAGCTGCTGGAGCCCCCGGGCCTACCCACTATTTCAGGCTCTCAGCTGTTGGGGACACTGGGGTTCTCTGTGCTACAAGCTCACTCTGCAGCAACAGTGCTGGACTTTATTCTGTGGTCTCAATTTCCCCTTTGCTGCTGCTTTTCATGTCGTACTGTTGAGACCTTGCTCCACCCTCAGTCCTCTTGTGGGTTCTGGGGTTGTCTTAGAGCCACCTTGGGGATTGCACTCAGGGAGGGGCTGGGGATTGGTGGAGTCAAGGGGCTCCCCAAGAGCGAGCTCAGAAAAGGCACCCGGTCCACCTGCTCTGGGGGCATGGGCTGCATGGATATCCCAATTGCTGCTTAGTTGCCGTGCCTAGTATAGTGTCCCCCAGAGTGTCGGGGGCTGTGTGTGTGTATGTGCGTGTGCATTTGTGTGTGTGTCCATGTGTGTCCCTGCCAGGGTGTGGTGGGGTCCGAAGTGGGTGCTCAGAATCAGGGCCACATTCAGTGGAGTGGGGGGTGACTGTGAGCTGCAGCCCCACAGGGAGAGCAGCAGTGCCGAGACATGTCTGTGTGTCTAAGCCATGGGGTATCTCCTGATGGCTTCCCAAAGATCAGGCCCCTCATGAATGCCTGCACTGTGCCCACCCCCCAGTCTCTTCCATGAGCCCCGAGGTGCCCGAGCACCAAGGAAGCTCATCCTTCATGTTTCACTAGCAGTTGTGTTATTTCTCATTTGGGACAGTGGACAAGGGCTGAGCAGCCCCTGGTCCCCGAGTTGTGCAGACAACTGTGCACATGAGCAGGCAGACTGGTGACATAGGATCATTTAAGGAGACCCCGGCCCTCTGCCCTGGGAATCAGTTCAAGGCACTCTCAGTTGAATTTCCTTTTTGTTTTTTTTCTTCCTCTCCTTTTAAGGAATTATGAAGCTAAGAAAAGTTTTGTGCTTTGGGGGTTGATGGACAAAAGTTCTAGCTGATTAAATATGGTCTTAACTTATTGATATTGTTTTTTTTTTTTCTTTTTAATATTGTACTGTGGAGAAAAACTTTTTTGAGCCATGGAGTTGGTGTTTACAAGAACTTTTCACTTTTGCCAAAATGTTACAATTGAAAGGCATCCACGTCTTCAGTTTCCTAATATTTTCTTAAAAGATCTAGTGTCTCTTTTGTACACTAAACAGATAAATGCTGATTTTTTTCAACCTACAATAAATTTCACTGAACCGAATCCAGCGGCCCTGGCTGCGTGGGTGCGTGTGTGTCTGTCATAGCCCAGGAGCCCTGGTCCTGTGTGGGGGTGGGCCAAGGTCAGACCAGGGTGATGAGCAGGGGCTGGGACCTGGCAGAGAAGGCATCCTGACAAAGCCTTGAATGAGGCTGGCATGTGGAAGCTGACCTGACTGAGGTGCCCAGGAATGAGGCTGGCATGTGGAAGCTGACCTAACTGAGGTGGTGGGCCCTGCAGGTGCCAGGGCAGAAGGCCAAGACTGCCTGGTCACAGGTAGGAATAAGCAGAAACTGGGGAGGTGGGGGCGGTGGGGAGCCACAGTGGGTGTATGAGCAGGGCAGTGTACCTTGCTACTGCAGTATGGATGGGGTGGGCTGAGACAAGCAGTGGTGTCCCCCCACTTCCAGCAGCACCACTTGGGGTGAGGAAGTGTCCTTATTTCGAGAAATGAGCTGCAACTAATGAAAACAGTAGTAACTTTATTGTTCTTTCCTTCTAGGACAGCACGCTGGGGCATCCCCTGTGCCTCTGATGGGGAAGGGGACGCTGAGACCCAGTGGAGCTCCACAGGCCCAGGATGCCAGTGGAGATGGCCGTCCTTGTCTTGTGTTCCAGGTGAGGAGCTGCAGGCAGAGGGCCTGGCCTCCAAGGACAGGATGGGGGTGGGCATTTATTTGGGGAAGGAAAAACAGATAAAGAATAAGACTAGGATTAACAGAGTCCAGGGGTCAGGGCTGTGGGCCTCAGCCTTCCTGGCGGCCCCTAGGCCAGTGGCCTTGGCCCGAGTTCTAAGGCAGCCCAGGAATCCAAGGGGAGCGGGATGTGAGGTCACACAGGCCTGGCAGGGCAGAATGTACCCCCCAATCCCTGCTGGCCTGGCTACAACATTTTTCCAGGGGATAACATCACTCTCCCTACACCCGAGAGCCCAGGCTGACACCTGCCTCCTGTCATGCCTCAGCCTCACCTGCCCCCGCTCCACCAGCCTTGCTTGCAGCCCCCTATGCTGTTTGGCGCCACCCTGGCCACCACCTCTTCAGTGCAGGCAAGCAGCCGCAAGCAGTTCTCTGACCATCCTTCCTGAGCAGAGGAAGCCATGAGTCCAGCCCCCTGGGGGCCTTAAAGGATTTTCTTTCTCACGACCTATGCTGTGGCCAAGGGGCTTGGGGCTACCACTTGCTGGATAATGTCCTTGATTTTCCTCCCACCAATACCCAGATCCCGCAGCCCCTCTTGTGTAGCCAGCTTCCTTGGGCACTGGCACTCAGCAGTAATCAAGACCGTTCTGCCCTTGCTCTTAGGAGCCTGCAGTCTGGTGGGGACAGTGGTCTCCAGTTACCAGCTGCCCCAAACAGCACACTCACCCCATATTGCACATTCTCTGCAGTCGCTTTACATCGCCAACTGACTGCTAGGAATAGTCCTTTGCAGCTGTCCCCAGCACTGCCCTTCCATGGAGCCTACCTAGCCCACCATCCTCCTGCTGGCACCTCTCACATGCTGCCTGGGAATGCTGGGGTTCTCCAAGGCTGCATCTTGGGGCCTTTATCCTCTCTCTGCACACATTCCCGTGATGTCATTTGTGGCCTGGAGGTGCTAGCTCCTTCTATGACCCTCTGATCCAACACCAAGTAGACATCCAACAGTTTAGTTCCCAGTGCTGGTATCACCCCCCACAGGTTAAGCTGTTCTGTCCTACAAGACTGCCCCTCACTTCAGATACCAGCCACAAGTCCCCAGCCAACCATACTTCTGAACAATAAATTGGGGGTTCTGATGACCCCCTCTTAGGTTTGGTAATTTGCTAGAATGGCTCATGCTGCTTAGGAAAATACTGGCTATAATTTGGGGGTTCTGATGACCCCCTCTTAGGTTTGGTAATTTGCTGGAATGGCTCACGCTGCTTAGGAAAATACTTCCACAGCCAAAGGGAGAAGGTGCAGAGGGCAGAGTGTGGTGACTGGCACAGGGCTTCCATACCCCCTCCAGGTGTGCCACCCTCCCAGCACCTCGAATAAATCACTGGCCTTGGTGTTGAAACTCAATCTCTACCCAGGTACTAGGACAAAACCCAAATACTTATACCATATTCCCTGTCCCCAGCCCTTAGGGTCTGCCCTAGTTCATTCTACCACTTCCCCTCCGCAGCTGCCTTTTTATCTGCTCCTGAACCCACTCCCCCAGATAAGAGATGTCTTTAGACCCCTTCCAGCAGCCACATCCTCCAGACAGCCCTCCCTGAGTTTCCTCTAGCTGGGTGTGCTCCAGTCTACTACCAACTCCCTCACACTGGGGCCCCAAGACAGCAAAGCCTGGGGCCAGTCTTGGAGCACCGCCCTCCCTCTCAAAACACACACAGCAAGGCTGGGCCCTGCCCATGTTTCCTGCAAAAAGTTCCCAATGATCCACCTTTTGGGCCCACGCCAGTGGTGGAAATTTTCCAGCCAAAGGAGGCTGCTTGTTTTGGAAAGTTCCTGGGCGAACCACCCCCGCCCTCTGAGTTCCCACGCTCCCTTATCACTGGGTGATAGCAGGGAGCAGTGCTGTGCAGGCCTAGCTTCTCCCTAGATGGCTGCCTGGGCCTTGCCCATCTCCTCTCCCCTCACCACTTAACATCCCCCCTCACCTGGCTCTGCAAGCCCTCCTGCTACAGAGAACGGAGTCCTCCCAGGACCCCGCCATGTGAGCCCTGTCAGGAGGTCAGAATGCCTGGTGGGTGCTAGAAGTGAGAGGGAGAAGCAGTTTGGGCTGGAGGAGCATCTGACTTTAGGGTGCAAGTCCTAGCTCAGTCCTCTGACTGGTTTCCCCTGCAGTATTTAAGCACAGGAGACCTACCATTGTAGGCCCAGCCACCCTGCTAAGTTCCACCTCCTGTCCTGTGTCTGGAGCCTGACACTCACTTTCAGCCTTACTGTCCTCTTTTGTGAAAAGGGAATAAGAGGCCACGCGCTTTAACGGGCTGTGGTGCGAAGTGAATCCACGCGCTCCGTGTACCGTCCGGGGTCTAGGCCACGTGTATGCCGGGGCGCGCTTGGTGGGGCAGGCACGCGATAGCCCGTGGGTCCTGCGCTGAACGGCCTCGAACGCCTCGAACCCGAGTCCAAGGCCGGTGCGCCGCTCCTCCGGATCCCCTCCCCCAAGCGCAAGCGTAGCAGGAGGCGGAGCAAGGGCGGGGCCGTGGCTCTTTTCTCTGGAGTTCCGGCCCCCGGAGCGATAGCAGCTCGCCTGTTCGAACCGACTCCGCGCCGGTAAGTGGGGCCCCGGGCGCGGTAGGTGTCCAAGAAATGGAAGTCGGCTTGGCCTGGCTCCTCTTTTGTCCCCGCTGACCTGCCAACCCCACGCACCCAGCTCGCCGCGATGGAGGCTGCAACCAAGTTTGTGGTCGAGAGCCCAGATGTGGTCTACAGCCCCGAGGCCATCGAGGCACAATACGAGTACCGGACGACAAGCGTGAGCCGCGAGGGGGGTGTCCTGAAGGTGAGCAAGGGACCAGGGGGTCGGGGGCTGGGGGACCCAGGGAGCCAGGAGAAGATGGGATTGCCCAACGTCTGCAGCCCCAGGCTCACCGTGCCGCCCGCCCCTAGGTGCAGCCCACATCCACGCGTTTCACCTTCCGGACCGCCCGGCAGGTGCCCCGGCTTGGGGTCATGCTCGTCGGCTGGGGCGGCAACAACGGCTCCACGCTTACTGCTGCGGTGCTGGCCAACCGGCTGCGCCTGTCCTGGCCCACGCGCACCGGTCGCAAGGTGGGCAGGGGGGAGCGGGTGGGGGGTGTCGCGCGGAGCACTGAGAAGCAAGGTCTCTGCTGGAGTCCATACATGAGGGGGCGGAGTCTGCGAGGTTGGGTCCTCAGGGAGCGGTTTCACGGGGGTGGAGCCTAAGGTGGGGCAAGCTCCCGGAAGGGACCTCAGGCGGGAAAGTGGCTTCAGCCCTGTCTTGGAGCTAGGAGCTTGGAGCTGAGGCCTCCCACAGCGGGGTGGGGCCCTTCCACTCCACGACCACCCTCATTGTCACTCTGTCCCCCAACATCCCCAGGAGGCCAACTACTACGGCTCACTGACCCAAGTGGGCACCGTTAGCCTGGGCCTGGACACTAAGGGCCAGGAGGTGTTCGTGCCCTTCCACGCGCTGCTGCCCATGGTGTCCCCCGACGACCTCGTGTTCGACGGTGGGCGGAGCCCTGGACCCGGAGTGGGGTGGGAGGCGGTCCCTGGAGGGGACAGCTGCTGAACGGGGCTGAGCCTGAGGGTCTACCCCAGGCTGGGACATATCGTCACTGAACCTGGCTGAGGCGATGCGGCGCGCGCAGGTGCTGGATTGGGGGCTGCAGGAGCAGCTGTGGCCGCACATGGAGGCCCTGCGCCCGCGGCCCTCGGTCTACATCCCAGAGTTCATCGCAGCTAACCAGAGCACGCGTGCTGACAACCTCATTCCTGGCACGCGCGCGCAGCAGGTGTGGCGTGCCCCCTCCCCCGGCCCCCCTTCATAATTCTTTCTCGCCTAGCACTTATTCCCACTGCCGTTTGCCCCTCCCCCTGCCACCTGTTCCCCACATACCCCTGCGTTGTCCCCTTTTTGTACCCATACTCCCATCCTGAGGGTCCCTGTTTGCATCTGGAGAGCTGAGTAGCCCAGGCCTCCACAGGTCAGGGTGCTTGTACAACCTCCCACCCCCCCACCACCCCGCCTCCCCTCCCTTAGCTGGAGCAGATCCGCAAGGACATCTGTGACTTCCGGTCCCGCGAGGGGCTGGACAAAATCATTGTGCTATGGACGGCGAACACAGAACGCTTCTGCGAATTGGTTCCAGGCCTCAATGACACCGCTGAGAACCTGCTGCGTACTATCCAGGTAGGTGTGCTCCGAGGTGGAGCCGGGTCAGGGCCAGCCCCAAAGGAATCCCTCTGCTTACTGTCCACCTGTGCCCACAGCTGGGCCTGGAGGTGTCGCCCTCCACGCTCTTCGCTGTGGCCAGCATCTTGGAGGGCTGCGCCTTCCTCAATGGGTCGCCGCAGAACACCCTGGTGCCGGGAGTGCTCGAGCTTGCTTGGCAGCGCCGAGTCTTTGTGGGCGGAGACGATTTCAAGTCAGGTCAGACCAAGGTCAAGTCAGTGCTTGTAGACTTCCTTATCGGCTCTGGCCTAAAGGTGCGTGGGCCTGGGGGCGGTATGTGGCTCAGGGCAGGGTGGGGGGTTGAACCCGAGCCTGGCTTGTGTTGTGGGGCCTGCAGCATCCGTGAGGCCCCATGTTCCCGCAGACCATGTCCATTGTGAGCTACAACCACCTGGGCAACAATGACGGGCGGAACTTGTCAGCGCCGCCACAGTTCCGCTCCAAGGAAGTGTCCAAGAGCAGCGTGGTGGACGACATGGTGCAGAGCAACCCGGTGCTTTATGCACCCGGCGAGGAGCCCAACCACTGTGTGCGTGGGGCACAGGAACAGGGATCCAGGGAGGGAGCAACCTGCAGAGGAGGGCAGACTCATGTGACTCTGTGCCATCCCCTAGGTGGTCATCAAGTATGTGCCATATGTGGGCGACAGCAAGCGTGCGCTTGATGAGTACACGTCGGAGCTGATGCTGGGTGGCACTAACACACTGGTGTTGCACAACACCTGCGAGGTGTGGGGCGCTTGGGGGCAGGAGTGGGGGCCCCCCTTTTCTGTCCCACCATCGCCTGACCCGCTGGCCCTGCAGGACTCACTCCTGGCCGCGCCCATCATGCTGGACCTGGCGCTGCTGACGGAGCTGTGCCAGCGCATAAGCTTCTGCACTGATGCCGACCCAGAGCCACAGGGCTTCCATCCCGTGCTGTCACTGCTCGGCTTCCTCTTCAAGGCGCCACTTGTGCCACCAGGCAGTCCAGTAGTCAATGCTCTCTTCCGCCAGCGCAGCTGCATTGAGAATATCCTCAGGTGTGCCCCCCCAGGGATCCTTACCCCTTGGCCTTATGCCCACTCAACGGGGGCTGTGCATGGGGCTTAGGAATTGGAGGCTGCCAGGGCACTGGCCATGGGGTCTTTCCCTGAGCCCTGACCTGTCCCCCCAGGGCCTGTTTGGGGCTTCCGCCACAGAACCACATGTTTCTGGAGCACAAGATGGAGCGCCCAGGGCTCAAGTGGGTCGGGCACGTGGCTGCTGCTTGCCCTGTGTCTTGCAAGAAACCAGCGCCAGCAGCCCCAAACGGCTATACCAGTGACACCAATGGGCACTCGCAGGCTGAGGCACCCCTGACACCCACCACCTGAGGTGGTGGCCACACTGGCTCCCTACAACTCCTGCCCCCATTATCCCTCAGGACCCACCCACTCTTTCAGACCCCTACCCTCAAACAATAAAGCCATCACCACTGTTAGGCACACCTGTGGGTTCTTGATGCCTTTCACCTAACCCTAACCACCCAGTAGTTTTTCACCTGGTAGACTCAACCTACCCTTCGTAACTCTTGTCCCAACCCTCAGGGACCTTCCAGAACCCCTGGGGCTTTTGCCTAATCCCAGCCCTGAAGATGAGGCTGAGACCCAGGGTGGAGGGTGTGGCTACAAGCCAAATTTGAAGAAATGTGAGACAATACCAAAAACCAAAACAAGTTACATTTATTAATGGCGACTATCCCGGTTGTCCAGGAGAAAGGAGATTCCCCTCCCCCGCAGGAGTCCCCAGAACAAAATAGAAATGAGGGAAGAACCCATACAGGAAAGAGCCTCTGAGGTCCTTGTGTTTTTTATAAAATGAGAGTCCTTAATGCGGGGCCTCCAAGCCTTGACCAGGAGTCCAGTTGCCTGAGGTGTGACCTCAGACCCTGCCCTGCAGACCACCCAAGCCCCCTGACAGGGACACTGGATAGAGGCCGAGGCCGGCAGTGAGCAACGGGCTGCTGCCCCATCACACGCTCATGGTCATCCCAGGCGAGTACTGCAGAGAAATGGGGGGGTGGCACGCAGGGCGGGCTCAGCTCTGCCCTAGGCTGGGACCAACCCCCCCACCCCCCAAAAAAACAGATGGGTCTGGGAGGAGGTGGAGAGAAGGGGAGGGAGCAGGTATCAAAGTTAGGGAGGTGAGGCCACCCTGGAGCATGGGTCCCAGAGTCGGGGCAGGATAGTGGTGGGGCTAGTGAAACCAGGGCAGGAGAGGGGAGGGAAGGGGAAGAATGCCGCGGCCGCC